CGCAGATCCTGCTGAAGCGTGGACGTCGCTGGGGGGACTATGGTGAGGCGTGGCCCCCAAGCGCTGAGTCTGCACAGTCTTTGTTTTGCAACCGACGAAGTGCAACATGCTGTCAGGAACGTTTGGCTAGCGCGTTGCGCCGTCGGTTCTGGCCCACCACGCTTCGGCGCGAGACGCTGACCATGTCCTGGTCCCCGAACGCCAACGTCCCGATCCTTTCGAAGCCCACCGTCCCACGAATCGGAGAGACACGCGATCAGCTTGCAGGACATAGCATATCGCCGCAGCTGTCGCGGCTAACTATCTATGGGACCCCATCGTGTGGGGCCCTATCGCGTGGGGCACCCTGGTGTGCGACTTTACTTCGAAGGATCCTGTCGTGTTGGGCCCTAGCGTGCGGGACCTTCTCGCGTAGGGCCCTATTGTGTGTGACCTTGTCGGGTAAGATTCTTTTGCGTGGGACTCAAACGGGTAGGGCCCGCTCGTATGAGGCCCTATCGCAGGGAGAGAAGATCGTACTTCCAAGCGCCGCCGAGACCATACCACGGTCTTGCCACTCAGAGGCATCCCCTTTGTGTATGATGCCGACGTTGGCACCGCATGGTCGTGATGTGCCATATGGGGCGCCAAGTATGTGGTACCAGCCATGCGGCTCAGTTAGCCAAGCCAATACTGATTGTCAGTCCCATTGTTCGCGCAACCATCCCACCCTCCCAACCGCAACTTTTTCTGAAACCCATGCGGCCCACTGCTTGCGCATCGTTGCAGTCGCGCCGGCGCGCGTACCCTCGCGCGCAGAGCGGCCAGCTGATTTGGCACAGCTGATGTGGCCGCGATGGCGCTTACCGGTTGGAATTGCTCAGCGCGTCTCAAAGGCCGCGCTGGCGCGCGGGCACTTCAGTGCGTGTCTGTGGCTCGGGCGGGCGCGGTACCAGGATGACAACGACAACGGCGGCAACGATAATGATAGCAGTGATGGTGGTGGCAAAGTTGTTGATGATGGTGGTGGTGGTGATGATGATGTTGGTTTGTTCCAGATGTGTTTGCAGAGGTCTCTCTTGAACTGTGTGGAAATTGCATGATTCTGGGCGGATTTCGACACACTCGGGTGGCGGCGCGCACGTGTGGTCCGCATACTATTACTTGATGCTGGTTCGTGCGTTGCGCGCATGCTACATCAGCGCGGCTTGCACCGCGTGGTGACGTGAGAATGTCGATTGTGGGCCAGCGTGATACAGTCTTATGGTGTTCATATATATATTGCTTCGGTTAGAGGGCGCGTGCAAAAAAATATTGCAATGGTTTTGATGAGCAGCGAACGGGTCCTCAGTATTGAAATGTTGAAATGCTTGCAACACTCTTGTGCTGGGTCGGATTTTGACGTGTGCTCGCACTTGCGGGATTTTTTTGTGTGTGTGTGTGTGTTGCAAGGGGTTATTGAAACAGGATGTTGTGGTTCGCGCGTGATGTATTTTGACATGACTGACGGGGTGGGGGCGATACCGGTTGGGCTGGGATGGTATGATTGCAGCTTGGAGACGAACGATGCGGCAAAACCATATGCATAATCTCATACGAAGAGGGTGTATTGTCCATCCCAGGCGCGGGGGGTGGTCGAGTTTTTTTTATTACGAAAGGGAAGTCTACTGCGCACAAACATTGGTGTGCTTCATGCGGCGGGGCTTTGTGGTGCAATCGGTGCGATGCAGCCTATGCAATGATGCACTATACTGTACATCCTGTGGCGTGCACTTTGCGCATGTGCCTTTTTCGTGTGGGGTCCTTTCGTGTTGGGCATCATCAAATGGGACCCTACAGCGTGGCACCCGATCAAATCGGATCCTACCAAGTGGGGCCCTGTCGTTTGGGACCTCAGATCGCGGGACTCCAACGATATGATCCCACGATGGGATCTCCTTGAGAACGGAGCGACAACCGCCGAAAACGACAGGATCGCACAAAAGGATCCCAGCGAGAATGGGGCGAGCATCACCGACCACATACACACATGCTGGGCAAGAGGGCCAGTTCACCTGTGAGTCGTTATGAGGACCCCCCTGGCTGCACGCCCCCCGAACTTCGAATACCGTTCCTGCAATCCCGCGGTCTGCGGCCCATCCCGTCGCCGTGGCTCGTTCGTGGATCAGAGGGCAATTGAGGTTTTTGGGGTTTTCTTGTGGGGCATCTTGGGCGCCTTGCAATCCATCTTGCAGCGATCTTGGGACCCTTTTGGGCCGTTTCAATTGCAGTCCGTTTCGGGTTATGTTGTTACATGTTTGTCTTTGTGTTGCGTCTCCCTGTTCCACGGCGTTGCGTCACACGCCTCACACCGGGGCTCTCTGGAGGGGGTACTGGGGGATATTGTGACCCCTTGAGCCCTTTCGGAAAGTCTGGGGACCTTTTGGGGGCTCTTGGGCTGTCTTGGGCTTGAGCCATGAAGAGGGCCTTTTGAAACCCTCTTGGGTCGTTCTGGGTGCTCGTTGTTGCCTTCTTTGGCAGTCTTGGAGCTTACTGGAGCCATCTTGAAGCCTTATTGAGCCGAGAAGCCGAACAGGCGGTACATAGTTACTGAGTTCTAGGTTTGAGAATTTTGGCAGTGTGGGGCCTCTCTTGGCGAATCTTGGGGCCGCTCTTGGAGGCTCTTGCTGGCCTCCTGAGGTGCCTTGGGGTCTCTTCGAAGCTTTCGAGGGCATCTTGTTCCTTTCTGGCACTTCTTGGGAGCCTTTTGCAGGATCTGGGGGTCGCTTTGGGCGGGTTCAGCTTCCACACGGATTATTCAACACACCCCAGAATGTTTGGTCTGGCCAACCAGGCGTCTGGGCCTTTGCCAATCCAACAGCCCCTCGAACATTCCCAACTTTGTGAACCTTGGGGTGCTCCACTTCGTGCTGAAGGCACGTCGGCGGATATAGCCACTTATGCGTAAATCCGTATCCATTTTGGCTCAAGCCATTTTGGCTCAAGTGCTAAGTGCAACTAGAGGCAATTGTAAGTCTACACCAGCTTCCCGCGACACCGCGCTCTGATTACGTGCCCATTGTCATGCATTCTCGGCGGGGGCCGAAGATGTTTCAATGGCGCAAATAGTCAGCACCCGGTTCTTCGCAACAATCTTCAACCTCACCGTCGCCCAGCACGAACGAGTAGCGGCGCGACCCGGCGGGTCATTGGCACTTCGTGGGCTACCTCAAGGGGACTGGCACTCAGCCAGATGCCGCGATGCCCCGGATCTGGACGTGCACGCTGTGCCAGAGTTCCAACTGGCACCCGAAGGTCAAGTGCTCGACGTGCGGGCTCAAGCGGACGTACGCGGCGGTGGCTGGGACGCCCTCGAGCACGCTGGCTCCGCCTACGGGCTCTGCCAACCCCCCGCCCAAGAGTGGACACCCCGGGAACCCTGTCCAGCAGCAGTTGGCGGCGGTTGCCGAGTGCCTGTCTGCAGCCACCGGCACCTCGGCGATCAAGCCGCCCCCGCCTGCACCCGCGGCCGCCACGCAGCAGCAGGCACCCCCGACGCCCTCAGCCCCGCCCACTGCGGAGCAGACCGGGAGCGTCGGACCTACCAAGGCGTCCGTGGTCGCCACGATCAAGGAGCTCGAGATGGCCATCGCTGCGTTGACTACCCCGTCGACGGCTGCGCTCAAAGCCTCCCTCACCGAGCAGCTCGAGCAGAAGCGCCGCGAGCTGCAGAGCTTCAAGCCTGTGGGGCAGAAGCTGGACTCTCTACGCGCAGCCCTGGAGCGTTCGAGGAAGCGCAAGGCCCAGGCCGCCGAGGCCTTGGCCCTGGCAGAGCAGACAATGCGAGCTGCTACGGAGGAGGAGGAGCGTTTGGACAAGGAGCTCACCTTGCTCGAGTCCTCCCTGGCCAAGGACCCCCCCCAGCAGCCTCCTGCCATGAGCGCCCTGCGCGATCAGCTCTCGGCGGCTGTGGAGGAGCTCAAGCAGTTCGACGACATCAGCCCCGAGGTCATCAGCGACGCCGAGACCAAGACAGACAACTTGCTGAAGAGCTTCGAGATGACGATCCGGGCGGCTCAGCAGGCCCAGGAGGTGGTCCACGGGCGCTTGCGCGGCAAGCGCCCTCCCCCCGAACCCGAGACCGATGTTTTCCACAGGGTCACGGGCAAGCAGAAAGTGCAATCTCATTTGACGTCTTTTTTCGGGGCTCCGGTGAAGAAGCCGCCGGATGGCGTGTGCAAGCCTTCAGTGGGTGCGCATGCTCCTTCGGCCAAGAGCGCGTACCAGCCGTACGCGTAGATCACTCTCTGGAGCACCTCCTCGACGAACGCGCCGTGGAGATGTGCGCCGCAGCTAGGTGGCCGGAGCTGCTCGCAGCAGCAACGGTACCTCATATACACGACTATTCGACACCAGCCCCGACGCTGACGACGTTACGGCAGCTCGGCGCTGATGCTGGCACGACGCTAGCTCTGTCGCCGCCGGCTCGCCTTGACGCCGGCAGTGAGCTGACACTGACGCTGCCGCCGTTCGGATTCGGCGCTGGCGACAGTGCGACGCCGACACCGCCGCTGACGTCATTACGACAGCGCGGCGCCGACGCCGTTACGACACTGATGCCGCCGCCGCCGTTGCAAGGCGACGGAACGATGCTGAACCTGGCGACGTCACGACCGACTGACGTCGACCATGACACGACGCCGTCACCGCTGGCGACGCTACGCCAGTGCAAACGCCGACGCCGACGCCGACGCCGTTACGACACTGACACCGCCTCCGACGCCGACGCCGACGCCGTTACGACACTGACCGCCGCCGACGCCGACGCTGACGCCGACGCCGTTACTACACTGACCGACGCCGACGCCGACGCCGACGCCGACGCTGACACCGCCGCCGCCGTTACGACAGCGCCACTGCCGACGCCGGTAGGCATGCAGGCGTCCAGAGGTCGTCCGACGGCGCACGGCCGACGCAAAGCGGCCCGCTCTGCCGCGTGGAGACCACGTGGCCCATCGCTGAATGGGACATCCCGCACCGAGATGGTGATGCAGCGTGCTGGTGCTGCGCTTCTTCCTCGCGGGGTCCCTGACAGGGCTGCCTCAACTGGTCGGCCCACCGTGAACCAGACCGACCTGACCGTCACCATCGCCTCTGCTAACGTCCAGACGTTGCTCCCGCACCAGGAGGGGCGCGCGTGCTCCCACAACTCGGTAAATCCGCTTTTGAGCAAGGTGGAGGCCCTTGAGACCCAGTTCATGCACGCTCAACTTGACATCGTAGGCGTGCAGGAGGGGCGGGCTCGAACAGAGGGGTCGCAGACAGGAGTATACTACAAGCGCCTCATCGGGGCTGCAACGCCAGAGGGCGCTCAAGGAGTTCAGCTGTGGGTCCGCTTGGGCGCCCACATACAGGTGCTTCGCTGGCAGAACGTCTCACCTCGGACGATGTTTGCGTCGCTGCAGCTCCGGAACGGGGCTCTCCTTGTAGTTGTAGTCGCGCATGCGCCGCATATGGGATGGTCGGAGGAGGCCCGCCATGACTTTTGGTACCTACTGAGCGAGACCATGTCTACAGTACGTGCCAAATTTCACACAGCCCATATCCGGATCGCTATCGATGCCAACGGGCGCACGGGGTCCACAGCCTCCCAGTATATTGGCACTGTGGACGCCGGGGTGGAGAATGACAACGGGGCCTTATTGCGACGTTTCGCTGGCGAGGAGCACCTGTATGCCGTCAACACGTTCTGGCCAGCTGGGACTACTTGGTGCTCTACTCGTGGGCACCGCCGTCGCATCGACTACATCTTGGCCGACTCCAAGGACTTCGTGACGCAGTGCCGGGTTGCGCCTGACATCGATTTGACTTTCAACGAGTATGAAGATCATCGGCCCATCATTGTCACCGAGCGTATCCCGGCAGCGGCCCGCCAGGGCTCCAGCAAGCAGCCGGCGATGTTCAAGATGAACAAGACGGCGTTGGGGTGTCCCCAGCTCTGCGACTTGTTCCAGCAGCGCGTCTGGAAGTACCAGTGCCCTGCCAATGCCTCAATGGACGAGTGGTTGGAATCCTTGAACTCCCACGTTCGACAATGTGTTCGGGAAGTGTTTGGCCCTCCAGAGGGCGTCCCCAGGCAGGCGTGGATTTCCGCTACGACGTGGGAAATCATAAAGCTGATCGCCCCTGCCCGCCGGGCCATGCATGAAGTGCGCCGCGGCGCGTTCCCCGCGGCCGTCCGCCGCGGGGCTTTCCGGGTGTGGCAGGCAGCTTATGTGAAGGCTCGTGCGCGCCCCCCGCCGAGCGAGAAGTTCACCATGCGGGTTGTTGTTGGCGACGCGCTCGACAACATCACTATCTGCAACGAGGCCCGGTCGCGCGCGGCAGCGTGGTGCAGGTGGATCAGGCGACTCCAGAACTGGGCCCGACCGTCGCTTGCTGCCGACCGTGCTGCTTTCCTCCAGGCGTTAGCCGGAAAAGCCCAGCACGCCGTGCTCACGTCAGACATGCGCACTGGCTATGCCGTTGCTCGGGCCCTCGGTGCGAAGAAGAGTGCGCCAACTTCTTCGGTGAGGCGCAAAGACGGGGCTCTCACCACGTCCACCCGCGAGGCCACGGAGCGCTGGGGGGAGCGCTACTCGGAGGTATATCGAGGGCAGGCCCTCGAAGACAGCGCCAACAGTTACCCTCCAGATGTGTGCGACACCAAAGCTGTGGCCAATTATGGCCCTGAGTCGACGCGCGTAGCGTTCGGCAAGCTTGGACGCAACAAAGGTGTCGGGCCTGATCAGATCCCTGGGGAACTCCTTGCTGCCGGAGGCTGTGCCACTGCGTCCAAGTATGGGGACATCAACGCCGCCGTAGCAATCTCCACACGCTGGCCCTCGCAGTGGCAGGGCGGGCAGATTGTCAGCGCTTGGAAGAAGAAGGGCAGCGCACACGAGTGTGATGACCACTGCGGACTCCTCCTATCAGATCATGCTGGCAAAGCGCTGACTGGCATGCTCAAGCGGTCGATTGAGGACGTGTGCACTGCCAAGATGCCCATCAACCAGCACGGGGCTGTGGACGGCAGGGGCGCCGAATTCGCATCGCATATCGTTGCCTCGATGATAGGCTGGAGCATCTTTATTCTGCACTTGGATCTTGTCAAAGCGTTCGACAGAGTGATCCGTCAGCTAGTGATGGGATGGGGGCAAGTACCTTGTGACCGGCAGTTGGACTTCCTCCGCGATCTGGGTGTCTCTGAGGTGTCGGCAGCATGGATCGCCGAGTACTTGGCCGAGAGCGGCCCTCTTTTCGAGCCAAGGGGGGGTCCCCTGCGACGCCCGCGACATGATCCGGACGCTGCGTGAAGGCGCCTGGCACAGCGTACGCGGTGGCACGCGGCGCTTTTCTTCACGCACCGGGGGTCGCCAGGGGTGCTGCCTAGGCGCCGTGGTCTTCAATCGTCCATACAGCATACCATTGGACGCGCTGCATTGGCGTCTCCAGCGCGCCGGAGTTGCGCTAAACGTGCACACTCCTGAGGGCGCATTTTGGAGTCGCCCCGCTCCCGGCAATCCTGCCTCCCAGGCCGCACTGGACGTCGCGTTTGTTGATGACGAGGCTATCTTCCTCGTGGCGTCGTCGGCGACCGCCATGATGACGAGCATCCACATTGTTCTCGGCACGCTGACTTCGGTATTCAGATCTTGCCACCTAGAGCTGAATTGGGGCCTCGGCAAGTCCGAGTGCGTTCTTCGTCTCCGGGGGACTGGAGCCGCTACCGCGCTCGAGAAGTGGCCGCAGCCGGACGGGAGTTTGGGCATACCGCTACAACAGTACGGGCACGACGGACTGCTCCGCATTGTGCCTTGGTACAAACACCTTGGCTCTACCCTTGACAGCCTTGACATGCACGTGGGCAACGTCTTACATCACATCAAGAGCGCTATGGGTGATTCCGCCCCCTTGGCCATGAAGTTGTGCGGGTCCACGCTCATTGCCGATGCGTTCCGCATTATGTTCTTTCGGAGCTTGGTGGTTAGCCGTTTGATCTTCAACCTCCATATCATCGTATTGAAGCCCAAGGGAATCAGACGGCTGAACCATGTGTACATGCGCGGTCTTCGCCGCATTCACGGGGACCCCAGATTCTCAGCTAACACGCACTATCGCGACGCGGAGCTGAGAGAGAGAGGATGAGCATGCCTTCCATCGACTGCGTGCTAAGCGTTGCGCGATGGCGGTGCGTGGGCCGCGTTGTCCGGAATCGTCCCCTGGCGCTTATCTGTTTGCTCCATTTCCGCAAGGGGGAGCAATGCCTTCCCTGGGTGCGAGCGCTGCAGCACGACGCTGCGTTTTTGCAGGCTCGAGGCTTTTTCGCGGACTTGCCTTCTTTCGACACGCACCCGCCGACTTGGCAGGAGGCCATGCTCGATGAGCGAGGGTGGAGCAGGCCCATGCTAAGCCTGCCGGTATCGAGGATTCCAGAGCTCTTGTGCATTGCTGCGCTCTGTGTTCGGCCGCGTTTGCCACGCAGCGCGCTTTGGAGTCGCGTTCCAGAGCCAAGCATGGAATTCGTACGCCCTTGCGTGAATTCATTTCTACTTCGATCTGCCCGTGTTGCGGCGTGGACTTCCGAAGCCGCGTGCGCTGCATCACGCACCTTTGCGATAAACGTCGCCCCCGTTGTGCAGATTTCGTCAAGACGCATTGCAAGCGGCTCCCTCCGAAGGAGGTAGAGCGCCTCGATGCTCTCGATAAGGTGGCCCGCCGTGACGCCCAGCGTCAAGGCCACTCCCACGTCATCGCAGCCCTCCCTGCCGTGAGACCTGGTTGAACCCAGCCGTGTTTCCGGTAGCGCGCCTGCGCCGCCGTGATGTACTGCCCTTGAGACTCCCAGCCCTCAGCGAGTTTATGCGTAAATGCATGTGTGTATTTGCCGCGGTCTGTCGTCGTCCTCGTCTGTCGTCCAGCCTCCTCGTCGTCCTCTTGTGCTTGTGTTTCCCTCTGACGTCCTCGCATGTCGAATGTCGTCCGTCCGTCGGTCGTGCCGTCTCTCTGCTCTCTGTTACTGGGCCCGTCTTGCGTTGTACACAATTTCTCGCGCCTTATTTTCCTTGTATTTGCCTGTCCGTGCTGCACCTCGCTTGGGATGACACGCCTGGGCTCGCAAGTATGAGCGGAGCTTCATGTCTGAATCACCTTGCTGTCGTGGCCCGTTCGTTTTGCACCCGCGAGTGCCCTTACACTGCAGCGCCGGAAAAAGTGTGCGCGTGTGTATGCGTATGCGTGTGTGGGAGAGTTAACGGCCTCCGCCGCGTCGCTGCGCGCGTGGCCGCGCCGCCAAACAGTATGTGCACGTGCTTGCGCGTGTGTGCATGCTTGTCTGTTGGTATCTGTCCCGTTGCCAGTGCTGTTCTCTGTGTTGCCTTCTCTCGTTGTCCGCCTAGTGCCTAGTGTCCTGCTTCAACGACGGTCGAGGCCCTGTTGACGCTGCGTTTTCCTTGCATACAGGTCCGCGTGTGGGAGAGGTGTCGAGACTACGGTCTCGTCTAGCCTGATATGCGTGCGCTCCTATGGAATGACTCTGTGCGAGGAAAGCAGGGGAGCCAGCAACAGCCACCGCCGCTCGCTTGAGGTTCGTGGCAAGATCTGCAACTTACGCCGTGGACCCCCGCCCTCCCCTGAGGGGCAGCGAAGCCGGTCAGGCAGCAGCGGGCCCGGGAAGTTGCAGGGAACGCTGACATCCCGCTTCCACACTACATCGGCGCTCGCTGTCGCCAAGTGAGGCGTCAGTGGCCTCGTGTGTCGGTGGTACTTTCCCCGATCCATAGATCTGGCGCCTACGCACCAGATCCACGGATCACCAATCCATGCTTGCGTGCGCCTGAGAAGTGGGGGGAAGGGGGGGGGGCACCTGGCTGCACGGACCCAGTCATCCGATGTTTTGATTTTTTGCATTATCAGGTCCCCAGAAGTCCCGGCCTTTTCCCTCGGGCCAGCTTTTCGTCCTGAGCCGTTTTTCGACGGCCCCGGGGCCCAGCGAGGGCCCCAGAGGCCGAAAACGGCCAGAAATCTTCTTGCGAGATCTTCTGACGACGAGAGCATGTCTGGGTCTTGTCCCCGCGGCGGGCGGGGGCAGCAGGGCCGGCCTGCCCAACAGGCCATCTCACCTGCGCGCGCTGCCGCGGCGACGGCGGCGGAGCGGAGGGCCGCGGTCTCGAGGCGGCGGCCAGA